AATTTTTTCGTATCTTTTTCAGGTATTATATCATCAAATATAAATAACTATAAGACAAAATAAAATGGAAAAACTTGTTAGCGCATTTCCATTGGGACTAAAAATGTGGGAATTTGTTGGCGAAACTATAATGGACATTCGCCAATTGGCGAAAGTTTAGGCGCGATTTGGCGTAAGTCCAGTGGATTTTCGTCAACTGTAATGACACTGGCGAAGTTCCAGACAGGGGCGTAAGTCAGGTGTCAGAGCGGGGGGGGGGGGGGAAGCCTAGTTTTTTTATTTTAATGGTCAAAAAAAAGGAACTTTTTTAAAGGTGGGGGGGGGGGGGGGCCCCCCCCCTTTTTCCCCTTTTTTTTGGGGAGGGGGGGGGGGGGGGTTTCCCCCCCCCCCCCCCCTATTTACGCCACTGGTTCCAGAATCCCGATTTTTTCTAAAGGGTGGCTGATACATCTACCTACATGCTTTTTTCAGTCATTGGAATGAGTTTGTACTCAATGACCTTTGGCGCCGATTACTAAGGTCTGTAATGGGAGCCGAAAAACTTAAAATTTATGTGAGATTTAGAAAAAGATTGTGACTAACTTCTTTAATTGTTTCATCATTTTTCAACGAATGTCGTGTTTCAGGAAATGAAATTGATCGAATTTGATTGATAATTCTGACGAAAAATAGATCGGACAATTGTAAATTTATTACTGATATTTGTCCATCGATTTTCCAACTAGAAAATTTTTATACGAGAATTTTAAATGAGGATTGATAGAAATAACATACAGTGGTAAAATAGCATCATTTACATATATACATTTGAGTACATCGAGATCAATTGTAAATGGTTTGATTAAATGCATCGAAGATTCTCGATCATTGTCTATTAATATTAATTTTTTAGAAAACAAATGAACATAATTGAAATTTTACTTGATTTGATATAATGAAGTTGAATATTTTCTACTCGAGCTTTTATTGGAAAATATGGCGAATCAACAGTACTCTACAAAACAATCAATACGGAATTAATAAATATTGAATGTTATTTAATACTTGAGCATCTTCAAATATATCTTCATCTATCTCATCAATGGTACTCTAGAAAACAATCAATACTGAATTAATAAATATTAAATTCTATTTCATACTTGAGCATCTTCAAATATTTCCTCATCTATCCTATCAACTTGAATAGAACCACCTTGAACTGTAAAATTTCCAAAATTTAGACAAATACTTGAACATTCACTAGAAAAAAATATTAAAAATAATTTATTATATATATTTTTTTTCGTCTTACTTATGATAGACACCATTATCAGGTAAGATAAAATAAGCTGATTGAAAATCAATATTAACATCTAAGTCTTTTATATTTCGAAAATTATAATTCAATAAAAATTTTAATCGATGTCGAATATCTGTATAAATTGTATAAGCTTTCTTTCTCACTCTAAAAACAAATTCAAAATTCCATATAAATCAATAATAAATTCTTTTTTTTATATATATACCCTCTTAAATGACGATGAACACCAGGATGAAAACAATCGATTAATCTATTGAGAGTTATCTATCAAAAATTCATAGAAATTAATAAGAAAAAATTTCTTCTAATCAATCATACTATATCATAGATAATCTCGAATGATTTCGATATTGCATTTATACGATAATCAATATTTGTATTCGATGGATATGTTTCAAATTCGACATGTAACAATTTTTGTGATGGACATTCAACTTTATTAATACATTGAATTAGATTTTTATCCTCGCCATGCATTTCCAATGAATCCATATCGATAATTACTCTAATTAAAATAAAATAATGAGAAAAATTAGAAAATTATACATAACTAACAAAAAAGCTGAAGTAGCTGGACGACGTTGATAATTTAAATTCGTATTCGATACAACAAGTTGAGCAATCATTGTTAATCTATCAAAAAATGACATAAACCAAAATTTGAAATAAATAATTATCGTTACTGTGAATCATTATCATTAACATTCGACCAGACATTAATTTCGAGTAAATTTAATTCAATTGAGAGATCAATATCAACATACTAAAGTCCAAATATTAGTCATTAATTCATACACAGAAGTATTTACTTCTTCTGGATATATTGATAAATTATGATCATCAGTAGCATTGTTCAAATTTATTTCTTCATCCAAGGTCATAACATTGTCAAGATCTATTCAAAATAGAATAATATCGATATTCGGAGTTAATTTACCTGTATTGTTATTATTTGAATTATCACTCCACGAATGAAATAATCTACCCCACCAAAATTTTTGTTTTTTTTCAACCTTATTCTTTTTAATCTAAAGGATAAAAATGAAAAAAAATGAATATATTAAATTAAGTAACATATTATTTCAGACGTCAAGTTCAACATTTCGACGAATAAAAACCAAATTTAAAACGTCGATTTGTTTTTCTAATTTCTAAAATATGAACGAAAAAAAAAATATTTTTTGAAATTAATTTCGATTTTTATCTTACTCGAGCACGTTGTTTCTCAATTCTAGTTGCTTGTTCATTACGTTCTTTAAAATATAAAGCATGATATTCACGACATCGATTTAAATTCTCTCTGATATTTTCCCATTGATAATATCCCAGACGTGGTCGAACTACTTCATTTACAACAACAGCATAAGCAAATTTCCAACTATAAAATAAATGAACAAATTAAAAAAAAAAATTTTTGAATTTATTTTTACCGTCGTAAACTTGGTTTATTCGTTTCAATTGATTCATAATATTTCTTATATTGTGATTGTAATTTAATATTATCTCGAAGTTCCAAAAGATCAAGTAAATCCGAATACTAAACAAATCAATAGATCAATAATAAAAAGTAAATCTTTTCGTCTAACCTGATCATGAGTAATATTTAAATGAATCTGCTTAAAATCAATTTTAACATCAAGAATAGGTCGAACATATTCCTGTTGATTAGGTAATGTTGCAATCTTTAATTTTGCTTTAATATCTGATGGTCGTAAAACTACAGAAGAAAAATATATATGATAAAATACTTAAAATTATCGAAAACTACTGCAGACGGAGATACTGTTTCGTTATCATTTCTGCTGGTAGCACAAGGTTAAATGATTGCGTTGTACATCGCAATTTTCAAAGCTTTTTATAAGACAAAAAAAGTACGTCCATCAACCACTTTTGGATAATCCGAAGTAATATACACAAACTTACTATAGTTCATATTTTCCATAGATGTTTCATTATTTTTCATAATTTTTGCATGTAAATCTTCCTGTATTAAAAAATATATATGCTTGAAATAAAATAAATCTTGTAAACATACAATAGGATTTTCTTTTGATTGAGATTTAACATCACAATTCCAATAAATAGAAAAAGTATTCAATTCACCGAACTAATATCGAATTAAAGTATACAGATTTAATTTGAAATATAATAATAATTTTTACTTTATAAATAACTGGTGAATCTTCTATTAATTTCATATGTTCCCATTCATTATTTGTTGTCTACATTGAAAAAGAAAAACAAATATTTGATTTTTGAAATAATATATCTACTTGAAATTTAATATAGTTGAGAGTAATTCCAAATATAAATGGTCGATTAGGTTTTGTTATTTTATCTTCGAAAGAAATATGAATATTACTTATAGAAAATTCGAAATGACGAATAATATGTAATTGTAAACGTTCGAGAAATGTATCGCTCTGTCTTGGAGATCTTTTTGATCTTACTAGAAAAAAAAACAGATTTATTCAAAGAAAAAAAAATAGAATAGATCTTATTACCAAATTCTTCTTGTTCTTTACGAAATTCTTCTATTTTATGTACTTCTTTCATTTTAGCTTTGTATTGTTTTTTTTCTTCTTGTTCAGCATTATGTTTTATTTCTGTATTTGGTTCAGCAATTACATAAAAACCATCGATAATAATATTAATAGGATGATGATATAAATGTTTCCAAGAAATATGAAATGATAATTTTTCTAAATATTTTATTCAAGTCATTTTATTTAAACAAAAATAAAGTAACAACATACCAATATATCCAGTTATTAGTGTGACAGGAATATTGAAATTAGCCTATTATTATAAATAGAAAACACGAGATACGTTGTATTTTAAGTACAAATAAAAAGGTTTACAAGTGCATCGGGTTTGATGTTAAGATTTTCTAGAGTAACATTACCTAAAATTTACAGATAAAATTAACTGTCTTACTGTAAGAATAAATCTAACCATGCCATAAATCAAATTTAAGATTCTGAGTATCCAAATTTTGAATATAATTTCCTAAATATTTATCAATTAAGTAAATAATTAATCGTTTGAATATCATGTTAATATGTATTTTATAAACGATCGACTTTAATTTGAATGTAAACAACTTTCATTACTAAATAAAATCAATCGAAAATGAAAAAGTACAAAAATAAATGACGTACGAAATAATTTTTCGTTAATAATGACTCACGATGGGCGTTAAGTATATCGATACGCACGTGAAAGAAAGAAGAAAAAGACATACGAACAGAATAACAAGTCATCCATAACAACATGTCTCGAAGGACATTTTTTGTCTATAAGCTAAGTAAAGAAACGATATTGAGTCAATCATTTAATTGTTGGTTATTTAAGTTCATCGATCAATTATAGACCATGTGCGTATTTTTTTTTGCAATTGATCATGAGGTAAAATAAGAAGTTAAAACGTAAAGATGTATATGTCGATATAAATCTTTTCTTTTCTTTTCTTTCCTTTAATATTGTGATGTAAAAAGAAAAGAAAATATGTAAGCATGTGAATATTTAAATTAGTCTTCACTTTTTATTCAAGGATAAAATGTGAAGGACTTGTTCATTCACACTCTCAAGATGTTTTATTTGATACATCAAATTTTATTATAAGTAAAACTCAAGAAAATTATTTCGAAAAAAAAAGTCACATATGATACAATCAATAAACAGTTTAATTAAATAATGATTATGGATTAGCTAGTGCATAAACGTCGCTCGATGTTAATTCTCGTGAGTAAATTCTTAATTCATCTATCATTCCATAGAATTGTCCGACGGCGACATTGCCATGGGCACACGGCACTGCAGCTGAAAATGTTGTTCCTACTGTAATCCAATCAGGTAAACTTGATGCAGAATAAGTAAATGGAATCGATGAACCAATTAAAGTTCCATTAATCCAAAGACGAACACCATTATCCATACTGTATGATGTAACAATATGAGTCCATACACCTAACTGAAGAATAGGTCCTTGAATAGCTACCATAGATAAATTCCAACTTTGTCCAATAATTTCATCGGATGAAGATAAACCTAACATAGGTATACACCATAATGTTCCATTTGAACTAAATAAATGTTATTTATATTTATTCCTAACAAAATTTGCTCTTTTTTTACCTTCCTGATACATGTACCAGAGTTCCACCTCCACTACTTGATAATGCTTTGTTTACCCAAAGTGATATTGAATAAGATTGACCAGATACACCCAATGAAGTAAATGCACCTGCTTGAAAATATGCACCTGAAACATTGAACAAAATGGATTGATTGACATAGCCCGCTGTAGAGCTTAAACCAACGCCTGTCTAAGAATACAACAAACTTATATTATATATTTAAATTAGAAAATATTTTGCAGATATAAATAATCGATCAAAGTTTTATATGAATTTCTTTTTAACTTACTCCATTAATTTTGAGAGGGCCCAAATCATAGTATGAACCATCATCGAATGAATAATAACCTGCAAGAGTTGCATCTGTTAAAATTTCTGATGCAGTCTTAGCTCGTGATACATATTCCATTTGATCGATATAGCCTGTCCAAAACGCAGCCGGTGTGGCAGTACCTGTATTATTAATTGCTCCAATGGTTATCGCTCCGCTTGTTGCTTGAAATGGACTTGATGTATTATGTGTACATTCGAGAATTCCATTCACATAAATATATTGTGTTAGAGCCATATAATCATAGACAAATGCAAAATGATACCAACGATTGATCGAGATGATTGTTGAACCCCAACAATCATTAGCATAAAATGCTAAATAAGTTCGATTTTGTCGTATCATTAAGTACATACACGTACTCAAGCTGATTGTTTGACACATACCCAACATCAAATTATCGTAATTATCTAGAAAGATAAATTGACTCTATCTTGCATAAAGATCTCTTCAGTTATAAAAGACTAATGACTTACCTAAATTGATTGGATAAGACCATGTTTCCCAAGTTAAACTTGTATTTGTCATATCTTTATAATTTGATACGAGAACATATTCAGAGTTTGTTCCATTGAGAAATAATGCCGATCCATAACCAGTGTAGCCAGGTGAAACAAAGCTAGCACCGTTTATACCGATACCATTGTATTCATTATACAGATCATCAAAATTGGAATCGAATGACCAGAATATATACGAGAGTGGTACGGCAGATGTCGTAGCTAACATATACGAAAAAATAGAAATCAACTGATCAAATTTCTTTTATATTTTTCTTAATATTGATTCACTATAGCAAGGCACGATCCGATAAACTCATCTTTTTCAGTTACATCGCAAAAACAACCAATAATTCATTTATACTACTATATATGTCGGGTGAATTATTCTCTATAGTGATTTACTTGTAGTAGATGTTGTCGATGTGCTTGTCGTTGTTGATGTGCTTGTAGTTGTCGTCGTCGTAGTTGTTGTGCTTGTCGTTGTTGATGTGCTTGTAGTTGTCGTCGTCGTAGTTGTTGTGCTTGTCGTTGTTGTTGTCGTTGTTGTAGTTGTCGTCGACGTTGTTGCTGTGCTAGTCGTAGTGTATGCAATGATGTCACTATCTAAAAATGTAGAGTTAATATAATATCCATCCTTAATGACAACCGATAAAGAATTTTTGAAGATAAAATGAGCTATTTTCTCTTGATATTAAACTGAAAATTTGTATACTATTCGAAAAATATACTAAGTTCTTTTTTTCAGATTATAAAAATACCTTGGTTAGATCGATCTTTGATATACATGGTAAGTACTGCTGCTAAAGCAATACCAACGACCAAAGCTCCAAGAATTACACCGAACAAAACAGGTCGTATATGCATACGACCGCTGGCTGAAATACATTTAATTAATAAAACATCATAAATAATGACAAATTTCATACTTGTATACATATTCTTCGTAATCTTAGGATGCTTCTCCATTAATTCGATCTTGTTTGGCTCTAGCTCTTGTTCTGTGAACCATTCACTTTTTCCTACGATCATGTCCAATTGCAAGAGCTTGCTTTATTACTGACTTCTATTTAGAAAATTCTTGAAATGAAATGAATTGAAAGTAGAAACACTATTTATATCGAAAAAAAGACATGACACTTTAAATTTAAATTTTTCTGTATGATGAGCGAAAACGTCTAAGTTTCAATTTAATTAGTTATATTCTTTCTTATATTGATTTATAGGAAACCTCATTATACGGTCGTCGCACTTTAGCTTAGTACCCGTGCACTATTTAATCAATTATTGCTGAGAAAAGAAAAAGAAAAAGAAAAGAAAAATATTATTGGATTTTTATTCGTGTCACGCCATTTGAAATGAAAAAAAAAAAAGAAAATTGATTTTTCTGTAATGCTTCATTAGTATCGCCTGATATTTAAAGACAGAAACTCAAATAACATTAATTCGTGTATGACTATCATACTCTCAAATTTCTTGTTGAAAATGAGTGCGAAAGTAAAAAGTATCACACACATTATTGTTGTTATTATGCTCTTATTTGATATAGGTTTATCGTGGTATATAGAAATCGAAATCAATTAATTATAGTGAGGATTAAGCAAAAATAAAAAAAAATAGGGGACACCCGGGATTGAACCAGGGACCTCTCGATCTGCAGTCGAATGCTCTACCACTGAGCTATATCCCCATGATGAAACTTGGTAAAAACTGGTTATAAAAAAATATAATGATGATAAAATTTATATGATGCAGCCGCGCACATCCACACCTCGTTTTAAAGACAAGGTTGATATATTTTTTTATCAAGTGTATCATTAACAGCAACTTGAGCTTTAATTGTAACTATCCATTTTTCAATTTGACCTGGCATTCGAAGATATAATCGACGATTATTTAATATATAAATTGTATCACATTGTCCATCGGCTCTTGAAAAATATCGATCAAGATTAAGATTTTCACTAGTCTGAAGTACTATTATTCGTCCTAAATTTAATCGAACACATATAATTGCTTCTGCAGTTGGAGATTGACATGAACGTGTAAAAAATATATCTTTTTTAAGATGTAAACAATCTTTTGCTGGACCAGTAGAGTATCCATAAGGAAAACCATTCTGAGCAATCTCAAAAGCTTCTTTTGAAGTTGTTTCATAATAAGCAATAAAAGATTTTTTTTCATCATCACTTAGATTTGCTACATCTATATCATGTTGAACTCCAAGTGAATGATATAATAAAAAATGATGAAGACTTTGTGATTTACAATTATTTTCTTGTTTACATTTTGATCGACGAAAATTATCGGAAGTTTCATCATTTAATAATGAACTATGTATAAAACGAAGATGACGACGATGTGTCTTAGTTATCATTGGTGGAGCAGTTATATGATAAATTCCATTTGTATTTCTTGAATCAGTAGGATTATAATTCCATAAACGAAAAAAATGAACAAATTCTAAAATAATAACAATTATTGATGATACAAGAGCAAATCCAGCAACAACAGTATAGGCAGTACATTGAGATTGAAAACGAGCTGAACAAGAAGCACCGATAACAAAACAAATGAATCTTAATATAAATGAACAAATAATAAATAAAATACGAATAAGTAAAATAGCTTGAGGACGATCTTTATGAAAATCAAGTCGAATACATGTCATTGTACCAATATTCCATAAATATTGAGCTGAAGTTGTTTGATGAATTAATGGTTGAATAAAATGACGCATAATAACATAAATAATATTACATATTATTAATGGAACTGATCCAATTAAATCAAATATTAAAATAGGTATAAGAAAATTTCTTGTACTTGAATTACTTTGAGATAGATCATTACTAACTAAACTTAATCGAATAATAAAAAAGATTAGTTCAAAGATATTGAAGACAATCATAGTTTTATATCGTTTTCTATCATTATAACAATTAAACGGAGAACGACATAGAGAAACCATCTTTGTGATATAATGTATTCTCTCGTATGGCAAGTTTTTATTTCTTGACTAGGATGTTGCAAGAGAAAATAAAGTTGGAAGTTTTTTTCTTTTTTTGAATAATATAGCAACGCAAACAAACAGAAAGAAAGGTTTTAAATGTTGCTATGAAACATTTTGTCGGGGAAAAACCAAGTTGAATTTTATTTAATAATATAAATTCTTTGTGAAACTTGGAAATAACAGACAAACGGTATTTTTAAATGATATGATGATTCTCTTTTTTTTCTTTGTAGATTAAATAAAATTTTAATGTTGTTAAAAAATGATGTGAAACGTTACCATTACTTGATAACGTTACATACAATATGTTCGATAGCTTTTATTATACGTTTTATCGTTTTATGTACTGATTTATCATCAGCTAGAAAAGATTCGATAGCTTTTCCTGTAATAATATTACTATTGGAATTAGGTTCATCATTTATTACTTTCATTGCAAATTTATGTTATGTATTTCTTCGTTATATTGGATCAATTTTATTTGAATCTGATCGTGAAAATGTTGGATGTTGTTCTCAATCATTTGCATGGAATCTATCGACATTAACATGTATTCGTTGTGAATGTTATCTTGAATATCCTCAACTTATATCAATAACTCGATTTAATATTTTAATTGCATTTGAAATAATGCGGTTTATAGGATTTATTCTTGCTTGTGTATGTGCTAGTCGATATTCGCCGATAGGCGTAGGTTATGCAATTTTAGCTGCATTTTCATTTATACCTTCATTATGGCTATTAATTGTTGAATATTTACATTATCGTCGTTTATGGTTTCATTATCATCCAGATGTTTCATCTGATGAGAAGCGTGAATATGATAGTCATCATTTACGTTTTTTACCATTAGCACTTACAAATGATCAACAAACAAGTCATTGGCAAAAATCTCGATGTAATAAAGAAAATAATTGTTTATCAAGAAATCTTTATCATGTAATTATGTATCATTCAAGTAATACAAAATATCCACCTGAACAAACAACAGATAATCAAATCGTTATTGGTTTTCATCAAACTAGTCATGCTTTTGCTGCATCTATTGCTAAAACAAACTTTAAACCAGGACAAAGTGGATGGATTGGACCCGGTATATATTTTGCAACGTCACTTGATCATACAGAATTTAAAGCAAATCACTTTGGAGCATATATTTGTGCTAAAGTAAATTTAGGTAAAACAAGACGTATAACTGCTCCACAACAATGGCCTTCTACTGAAGACTGTGACACAGTTTATTATCAACATCCTATAGGTGCTGATGAATTTTGTGTTCATGATCCAAAACAAATTCTTTCATGGATTATTCTGATTGATCAAGATCCAAATAAACAATTATTAAAACAAAGAAATATTCTACCGCTATCATCAGGAAAATATATTGAAGATCGTTTGGAAGACATTACTTATAGAGGATGTTTCATTTAAAATATCAAAGAATATTTGTTTACCCGACTATATCATTCTAATCAACTATTATCGTAGTTTATTGTCATATAACGAGAAGAGCAAGAGAAATATATTTCAGACAAGTTAACACTGTAAAATAATTTTATTAAAGAAATGAAGAGAAAGGAAGTAACGCATGCACTTTTTTAATGTATTTTTCCACGTGTCATAATTCTTCTAATAAACAAACATTTCTTTTATGGTGTTTTGCAAAATAAATACAAACTTGCATTATATAAAAAAAGAATTTCAATTGCAATACGCAAGAAAATCAAAGTTGATATTTCAATCGATGGGAGGTGTGACTGGAAATTTGTAACGCCTGTTTCTTAATTTTTATGTCTCAGCGACGATGTTTTCTATTATTTTATATAATTCAAAAACTTCTTTACCATTGTTATTTTGCTTCTAAATAGCGGGCGTTACTATGTGTTTTTCTCTGTACAAAATAAAAATAGAACAAACTATTCAAAATACTCTGATTATTTGTATAAGCAGAACATTAATAAAAGACTGATTTTTATTGATTTATTTTACTATTAAACTTTGAATCGAAATAATCTTTTCACAAAATTGTCTCTTAGATACCAGTCGTTGTGAACCAATTCTAATTCATTTATTGTTGTCTCACCAAAATCATAATCTTTGAAATTTTCAAGTATTTTTAAAAATTCTTCTTTTGCCGTAAAAGGTTTTCTAAATCGAACCACAGTAATATGAGCTGTTTGAAGAGAATATCGTTTATCTATACTTTGCTGAAGTGGAGAAGCTTTAAATACTGTTCTCATATCATTTCGAAGTTCATCGAGAACTTGCTGTTGTGGAAATCCTTGAATCATAATACACGATGGTGATGCAGTTATACCCTTGAATTTGATTGTAATATTTTTTTGTGATGATAAACATTTTTGAATAAGATCAATATAATCTTGAACGACAATCTGATTTAAATCAAATTCTTCATAACAAGCAATAATCGGCATTACAGTAAT